TAATGGCCTAGTCCCAAGCACATCCAACAGTAGCCTGAAAGAAACAAAGTTGAACCACACATTTTGAAGCAAACAGGAAAACTGTCAAAAGTATCTACCTAATCAAAAGCATTTACTAAACAATAAGTATTATGACAGAGCATTTAGCAAGAATTTATGAACCAAATGAATCTGCTACTCCACAATCCTGAATGTTTTACAGTTGTCTACATCTGTGCAAAAAGATTGCAAAATGTACAGATAAGATCACTTTGCACTGATGCTGATTACTATACAATATATAAAGCAGCAAAACATCAACCCTTGTGTCTCCCAGTTACCCAGCATGGATAAACAGTGATGTTTACTCTGTGACTGTTCTCCCTAAAACTTTAATATAGTTGTAAGAGTGCTATATGAAAAACACATTCCCCAATGGCATAATACTTTAAAGGATTCAACAAATAAATTAATTTAGCATGTTATGAAAGAATTAAACAATGCCAACATATTTTTACTGTTCCCATGAGAACTACTATTTTCTTATAGTCCTGCTCTTTGCCTCTTGCCAAAAGTCAAGATGGCCCCAGAGAAAGCCAGGATAAACCTGCTTGTCATTTAGTGAATGGCAATTGCCACTTCTGAGATTACATCTGGTAGAGGCCACCTTCCTAAAAGGGACAAGACAGGGTGACATTTCTTCTGACGCCAAGTCCTCTGGGAGTTAACTACAAACACGCTTACACCTTGTTTTAATACTGTTTTAACAAGCAGAAGCAAAGTATTCATATTTTTAAATATATATTTCCTTAGTAAGATTAAAATTCTCCTGTGATTGTTCTGGCATTTAAAATAATAATAGCAAAAAAAATTGTAATGGTATTTATCTCATCTTACAAGTTTTTAAAGGGTTTTGTTCCACAGAATCATTCAAGATAATAAAATGTGACTGCATTACTACAAACCAATGTCACTTAGTTAAAAGAATTGGCATAGTTAGGGATAAATTCTTAAATGCTTAATCAGAAGTTCTAAGATATACCAGATAACATGATTCATCTTCTTACTGGTGTTTTCAGAAATGCCTGTTGGTTTCTTTGCTCCAGAAAGGAAGTTTTCAATGAGCTGCTCTTGGCCCTTTGCAAACTCCCTCATCCTGAGTCCCAGGTCATACTGCCACTTCAGAAGAGACACATTTGCACATATCTTCTGAGAAAACAGATCTTTGGACATACTGAAATAATTTTTACAAATTCTGAAGCCAACAGAGTCAACAGCAAAACCATCACTGACTTTAACAGGGCCTAGATTTGTCTCTGAAGTCTCTTCACTGCACAGCAACTTTGCTGGTTGACCAGAGGTGGCTTCTGTGAGATGGCCACCTTGACTACCATGGTCAGAATGGCAAACACACTAGGCAGCTCACTCACAGGTAAGTGAAATTCTAACATTTTTAATTGAATGCACTGCTTAAAAGAGGTAGAAATTAGCTGGGTTTGGATTTTGCAGCATGTGAGGAAAGGGCCATGAGTCCATGAGGGAAGTATGCTACAACAGGATTCCCCCTCCCTTACCTACTCAGCATGTATACATCAACCAAGTGACACAGTGGCATCCTCTAAATACACAGTGAAATGTGAATTAACTCATGGAAATGCTGGTTGCAAACACATTTGTACTTTGTTCTCCAATTCACTTCAGTTTGCCTGTTGTGTTGTTGAGAAGATAGCCTTGACCCAATAGTTAAACTTTTACTCAGTGTGATTCTGGCAAATAAAGGGCTTGATACATTTTCCTATATTTTTTTTTAAACTGAAGACAATGTTAAAGCTACATTTGTCATACACTTTACTAAAAACTAATCACAAAACCACAGGAAATGTACTGTACATTGCTCATGGCATCCTGAAAAGATGAATACTACATTTTCTTACTTTGATTAGAGACACCAGTTGTTCTTGTAGCCCAATACACAATAGTAGGAAGAAGATAGGAAATGAAAGCATACTGAAAACATATTACTAATATACTGTGATTTGACACACATGTTCTGGAGCTGTTGTGAACAGCCTGGTAAAAAATTCTAATGTGATTCATGTCTTTTTAAAGGGGTTTTGTCTTCCATTGACCGAATATACAGTGATATACCAATGATCAGAACTAAGTGCATGAATAGGATGAATACCATCACAGAAAGACATGGAAATCTACAATTTCAGTTTGAAATATCACTACAAGACAATGTTAATAATAGCAGTATGTGTATTTCCTATGCAAGAAGATGTATATGTTGCAGTTAGACACAAAACTAGAATATTTATATTTAGAACAAAAATTACATACTTTGAGCTACACAATCACTGAAAGACTTTTCTTTGCAAAAGTAACTTCACTACAGGAACTATAAAAGAAGAATAGAGAAAGTGCTCTGAGTGCAGTTGGAGAAAATGCAGAAAATTGATTCTATTTCAAAAATCTGAACATTTTTCAGTGGACACAACATAATTAACATATGTCATATGCTTGACTGCACACTTTTGAGGCACTGTAGGTTATTTCTTCCTCGGAGGAAAAAGAAATCATAATCAATGCAACAGTACATTAATCGATAAATTAGTAAAATCTGAGCACAAAAAAAACTTGATAAACACAGCACCATGGTGCCTTACAGAGCCAGTAAAACCTGTGCATGGGAAAAAACCATGTAAGACATGATACTGCCCTTTAAAATAACTTGGGAAAGATTCTCTAAATTATGTGATACACCAAAGCTCTAATAATTTCTTTGAAATTAACCTTCTGACTGTTTTGTACTCAGAAGCACTAGCAGCTATAAATGTGGCTAGAGACACAAACACCTACCTTATGGGTAGGTTCTCTACTGTTGCAAAAAATAGCGCAAAGCATAGCACAACTCTCTCTGAGATAACTGTTAATAAATTTTAATAATATGAGCAATTATTTATATCTGAATATTTTGGAAATCAGGATAGCTTTGGCATTTTTGAACCACAAAAAAGAATTTCCTTTGCACAGGCCTAATCAGATGGGCTTTAAGTAGGCAAAATCTAAACTGATAAAATCACAAATTAAAAAAACAAGGACATTATGTTGTTGAATTTAGTGACCTGAGCAAGTAATATCCCCATTAAAAGAAAGTTTGTCACCAGATTTGACAAGATGTTGGTTACTAAGCACAGAATTAAATATTTTAGGCATTCACTGGAAGATTATTCTTTTCAACAGTGGCTGCATTTTTGTTATTAATTCAACAATCCAACCACAGAAAAAGTAAACAATTTAAAGTATTCCTTTGAAAAAAGGCATCAGAGAAGAAAGATGTAGTAATTACTGAACATTTCTGCCTCATCCATATATGTGGCTCCTTGATTGAATCCAGCCCAGCACAACGAAAAATAAAGAGCACAAATTAAATACACTCAGGAGAGCTGGGCTTGGCTTCATGCCCACCATCATCATAGTTAAACTCCATTTCCAAGATCCACCATAACACTTTCCTCTTAAGCTTCCTCTGGGTCACAGTGACCTCTGTTAAACGTTACAACAAGTGATAAAATGAAGACTGGGAGTACATTTGTTGTACAGTTAAAATTGAAAGGAACCAGGGGATCTGAACCAGATTGCAGATAAATAAAAAATATTGCTCAGCTGCATTCCTCTTTGTTCCAGATGTGTGATTTGTTACTAGTTATAACAGAAGGCAAGCTGTGTTTTGTAAAGACTAAAACCAACACATTACAGAAGGCAGAAGCACCATCTATCAATTTTCTAAAAGGAAATTGCACCTGCCTGCGATCTTGTCCTCATTTGACTGAGCCCTCTGAGAAGCACAATGATTTAATGCAACAGCTCTTCACATTTGAAGGGTGTGGTTCAGCTCTGGCTTTGCAGAAATGAGTCTAAGAGTCTAAATTTAGCAGGTAGTAAAAGTTTATCCATGAAAAATAAATACAGAAAAACTGTTTTCACGTTAACTGTGTACATCAGTGTAATTCACAGATTGAGCCCTGCCACTTCCCTGGGACTGACCCACACCAGCTGTATTTTCATTCCTGCAGCTCTTCCAGGCAAAGCGGGCAGCACAGACACTGCTTTGCACCAATGCCATCCTTCCCACACTTTCAAAGATGTTGACTCCTAAGTTCTTATTAAAAAGTATGGGAGTTTAGCCATGTAGCCATAGCCCTAACAACTGGCTGTGATCAATGTAAAAGTAAACAGTTATTCAAAGTTACTCTGTTAAAATGTCCCAGTTTGTCTTCAAGCAAAAATGTGAAGCTTTGTTTCTATTTGCTCTTTCCAAAAGACAAAGATAAAGGATGTAGTAAAAATAATCCTACTGCAAAAGGAAACAAGGTCTGCCATTCATAACATCTCAATTTCAGGAGAAGGGAGACAGGTGACAGGGAAAAACTCATTTCATTTGTTATTACTATGGACAGTGTTACAATTTTCATTCTCATCTACTCTCAGCTACTGACATTTTTTGATGATTTAACGCAGTCCTTACCAAAGCAAAATTTACATGGGGTTCAGGAACATACTTGTGAGAGCAAAATTAAGTAAAACAAAGAATAGCTGCGCATGGAGATGATGATGATCTGGCAGCTGGGTTAACTCAGAGCCATGTACTGCAATGAATGGGGCTATTTGTGCCCCGAGGAGCTATTAAAAAACCTGTGTTGGCACATTACCCTGCATCCCCACGCAAACTTCAAACGTACACATGCCGTCTCCAAAACACAGCAGGAGCTGCCCTCAGCACCAATACAGCTCAGTTCCTATCCATCACAGCTGCCCTCCCGTCCTGTGCAGGGCTCACACCAGGACAGGACCTTCTATTTTGTGTCCCAGCATGTTGCCACTCTGCAGGGAGAAGTGCTGCACGCAAAACACTTGCAGGAACTCAGCAGGAGTCACTGCCTCATGCAGAGTCAAGAGACTGGCTAACAGTGGGGCTCACTGAGGAGCAGCTTCCCAAGCCCTTTGCAGCAACCCACCTGTCCCTTTCTGCAGATGCAGAGGAGCAGACTGGTTCACGAGGAAATTTGGAGACAGATTTTGAATTCCCATTATTCTTCAGACTGTGTCATTTTCCAAATGATTTTCTGTGGAAAGAAACACACTGCTGATCACTTATTAGGGCAAGCATTGTGCTGGAAGTCTTATGCAGAGCTACTTCTTGGGGAGGCCACAAAGAGGCCTGCCAGAGGAAAAGACATGGGATTGCTTTCAGCCTACACAAAGCAGATCCTTGAACAGGAACCAGAGAATGAGAGAGTAACTCCGAGGGAATGCAGAAGTCAACCTCAAGAGATCAGGTGACTGGTGGCATCATGTATTGGTATGAAGCAAAGTCAGCCAGCTCTCACCAAACAAAAATCTCAGCAGGAACACCCAGGCAGGAACCCCTACACTGAAGAACAAGACACCATATCCCAGTGAGATACCACATGGGCAGAAATTGCTGCATTATATAATGGTGAGCTTGGCTCCTACCTCTCTGCATGGTAGGGATTCTCAGCTCCCAAGGAGTTCACAACTTGGAGGAGCTGTGAGATGTTGCCGCTGGCCATGGGTGTGGCTTTAGCACTACCATAATTTCCTGGCTCTTCTGCCTCTGTTGTCCATGTCAAGCGTTTTGAAGTGGCACTGTTACTTATTTCTAAGCGCAGTTGCCACTGATGCTGAACAGTGATCCATTGTTCCTATTGTTGCTTCTTCACTCAGTGGTTCATAAAAACAATGCTTAAGATGCAGCTTCAGCACAGGGAGTCCTAAAACTGCCGAGTGTCAGAAGCTGGAAGAATCACTCTGTACTTGCCCTGCTTCTTGTGTTTCTCCCTGAGCACCTTCTGCTGGCTGCTATCAAGAAAAATGTGCTGAGACCTTTGGTACAAGCATGCACTGTTCCTCTTATACCCTCCCTCTGACATTTTCCCCATCAACACTAATAGCTAAGGTGCAGTTCTTTTGACTGACCACATTAATGCTCTTCTCCTGTTGTTTAAAAACTGCTTTCAAAGTCTAACACCTTGATTTTCCATGTCAGCATCCTTCCCAGATTGCACTGCATTGACTGAAGTAATCACACCATGGGAGTGAAGCAATCTTTGCTTCACAAAGAAAAGCCTGAAATAAATATTGGAACATATTGATATACACTGGTTTGGACATAACTACCTAAAAACATCAAACACATCCCCCCCTCCCAGTGAAAAAAAAAAAAAAAAAAAGAAAGAAAAAGAAGAAAATCCAACTTGCATTCAGTCACCAGGTTCTCATGAGGATTTACAAATTCAACCATAACAAGAGAGATTTTTGAGGAAGGGGAAAATTAGCAAAGACAAATTTTACCAGCATTTTCCAGCTTTTGATAAAATGTCAAATGAGTGTTTATTTAATTTTTTTCCATTTTGAAATCCTAATTTCACCAGCTGTTTTCTTTCTCCCCATGGGAAAATGAGATAAACATTTCAAAAACATAAACAAGTGGCACTGTTTTCTACCAACAGAATCCCCCATTTCATTAAGAAATTCTGAATCAGAGGGTTTCTATTTTTTAAAAATAAAAATTAAAAAATCAAAAACTTTATATTTAAGAAACAAGTAAACAAGAATTTTTCTTTGCTCATAAAAAGGAAGAGTATAATGTACTATATGTGGAATAGAAAAACTAATGATCAGAGCTGCACAGCAACTCTGAATTTTAAACATATGGCAGAAGAGTACATAGATTTCAAAGCAAAATAAAGCTTAAAATGACCTGAAAATTTTGAAGGTAGAGACTTAAGAGAAATCAATACCCACAGGACCCAAACAGGCACACCAGAAAATGTGAGGACTCTGGGGAAAATCTTCTATGGCTTCTGAAGGGAACTTTTCTTTAAGCTATTTAATGAAACAATTGTTCAATAGATGCTTGCCTTTCTCTTGAGTAAGAGTTATTCCCAAAGGAAACAAAGCTCAATATGATTGAAAATATTTGTAAACGTATATACTTTGAAAAACAGAGGAATGTATTTACTAAAGAATGGGTAGCTTATCTATAAGGAACAACTAATGAAATATGCTGTATCATTTGTTATCACAATAAATGGCAATACTTGAATATAAAGCATATTCAATGCTTTGACACAGCATTTTTAACAATATAACTATAAACTGCATATGCCACACCAAACTGACTGAAAAAGGAAGATACTGTGTTATTCCTGAACTCAAAAACAAAGCTAGTTTTTAAAAATACATTAAATTAATGACAAATCAAATCTTAAATCTTGAAAAAATAATTCATAAATATTTCACAACCATTTAAGGTTTTTTTAAACAATAAAATTTGTAAAAAAGATACTTGCAAACAAATATTACATTTGAGATTAAATTAACCAAAACTATCTCTGCCTATTTAAATGCTTGCAGAGGTTTGTTTCTGGATAGCAATTCAAATCATACGTCATACCACAGTTTTGGATAAACAATGATCAAAACAGACTAGAAGAGCAATCATGAAAGGACTAAACAGAGAGAAACAATAATGATGAAATGTTGATTTGCCCCTGTATGGCAGATTAAGGAACCTGTACAGAGCGGATGTCACATTTTTTTAGCAATGCATGTACCCAAATTTGCTTTTGGCAAACATTGCTTAACTGCTGCTGTTTTTCATGAAGCCAATGAAGACTGGGTTAGATAATGAGCTGGCATGCACTTTTGAAATGTTTACTGTGTTCCTTAAAGTAAGGGGAACATGCTGGTTCTTAAACTAATTTGTTTTTTGTTGTTGGCTTCCCCCATCTCTCCCCTAGTATTCTGTTCTCCCTGTCTTTGGAATAAACAGAAAATGACTGAATCTTTTTATACTTTTTTTTTCCCCTCTTACAATTATACAACCAAAAAGTCTGTAGTTTCCAAATGGCAAACAACTGAGCCATGTCAAGAGCCATGGTAATCTCATGTGTTCACTCCATTGTTAACAATGAAGGAAGGGGGATGGGGAGGACAAAATAAAATCTGTCTATTCTGGCCTAAATGCAGGACATGAACGAGGAGACATTCCACAAACAATGTAGTCTTTTTCTTCTGGCAGGGGGAGGTGATGGGGAAGATGATGGTAGCAGAACTTTTGTGGAAGGAGAAGCTGTACCCATCTTGACAGTCAATACAGCATTCAGAAAGCTTACATGGTGGGAAGAATTTCCCACCCTTTGTTAACTAGGAACTTGATTTGAAAATGCAGTTTTTTAATTAAAATTGGCACTTCCAAGCTTCATGCTGGCATCCACCATCTTGCTAAACACTGAGCTCATTTGTGGTTCCAGCAGTTTGCAAACGCAGTCTCGGAGGTGACAAACCATTTCCCATCCTGCCACCCTTACTCAATCCTTCATCCCCATCTTATCATGAGTACATGGGAAATTCACTCCACTAAGACAAAGCAAGGACTGTAGGATGTGGCCTCATTTGGCTAGAATCCACAGATCCTAGTCTTTATTACTTTTAAGGCCTTGTTAACGGAACAGAATTCTTCAGAAATGGTTGGAGAAAAACAGGGTCAGTTATTTTTGAGGCTTCTACATGCTTCATTTCACTCAGACATCCACAACCATCATAATGGATAGAGATTTGTTGCTTAGCTCGCATTTCATTCTCTTCCCACCTATGCTCCAGACAGCAGAATTCAAAGACAGAAATTCCAGACTATTACCACCAACAACAAAAATTTCTGGGTAGAAAAGATGCAGAATTTATCTATTTGTTTCACATGGATGGACAAAATGGCTTATTTATTTTATTGATTTAATGAATAGATTTGCATATGTAATGCATTCTGACTTGAGGTATCTCAAATGAAAATTCAGTTTACAGGACTACTGAAGAAACTAGCAAAGCATCTTCATAGTATCTTCATTAGGAGATCACATATCATTATTTAGGACCTTTTTCTAAATAGTCCTCTGGGGGAAAAATGCTAATTTTTTTTTAAGTCTATTTTTTCTAGCTGTGCATATTCTGAGATGATGAAGAACAGTCTGGGAGGGTAATTTTTCTGCTTTTTAAATTTTATTTGGATTGATGTCTTTACAATGTCTAACATTGTTAGGTTCACTACAAAGGATTTCACTTCATCTTACAGTAAAAGAAAAATATTATGCAAATTGCATAAAGGACTTCACAAGACTATCCAGTTCATGTGAATACTAGCTAGCAAAGCAAGCTGTTGTTGGCTTTTGAAAAATCTGTCAACAATTAAGCTCATCAAAAGGAAATTCATAAGCCGATTTTGCAGAAATGTCTCACAAAGCCTGAGCCCTGTAAGGTACATTCATGTATTTAGTTCAGTTAAAGTTATATTCAAGAATTAAAGTAATTACCAAAGATCCATATATTTGTACTAAAAGCTTGCAGAATGTACAAATCCAAATATAGAAAGAACCTCAAGATTTGTAAATTACTGCAATTTGGAGTCATTTGCAGAATGATTTTCCAACAGGAATAAATCAGTGTTCCAAGCCTTCTCACATTATTCTGAGAAATATCATCTTTCAAAAAGTAGTACCAAAAAATGCAAGACATCTAACACCTACACTCAGTGTCCATCTACCAACATACATCTTATGTACCTCTGTACAACAAAACCCAGATCTTCATTACTGCATTTAGAACATTCTAAAGTTTTTATTTAAGCCAGAAGACAAGGCTTTAAGAGGGTTCCACAAAAAATGAGAGTTCCTCAATCCTGAAACCAAAGGAAGTAATCCAACAAAAGAATATGTCTGCACTGCAAACTGTCTCTCCATCTCCCAAAATCCTGTTACAGAGCACACAGAGCCTTGCAAAAAAATCGGGAGTTCTTTTGTCTTGTGACTTGTCCAAGCCATGCTTAGCAATCTAGAGAAGCCTCTTCAGGAAACCAGAGGCTTCATTATGGAAATTCTCTCTTCACTGCATGCTAATTTGATTATTTTTATTCAGAATTTTGCACGTATACACCACTTGACCAGATCTGACTCATCACACTTGCCCTGTGCTTAAGATTTTATCCTAGCTTCTTCCAGTAATGAATTTGAGTTGATTTTGTAAGATCCTGTTCATGACCTTAAAGCTAGTTCATAGGGTCAGACCTTTCATTTTTCTGTGTTCAGCTATTACTTTCTGCCACTGCTCTTCCATTATTCAACCTCCAGTCTTACAGGAATAGGACTTGGCTGATACTTATTTTTGCGAAATTCTTTGCCTTCCGATCTCAGGAATTTTGTAACTCTGTGCTTCAGAGTGTCTGATTAAATCTGCATTAGGATTCTGTCCTTAATCTAGAGTTCAGCAAATGCTTTAGCTTTGGTCTGAGGCAACTTGCAAGAACAAAAAAAAAAATTTATGTTTTATTTGTAGAAATCTATTGAGGGGCATCTGCTACACTATCTTTCCACATTTGTAGATGACACTTACTCATTGGCTACTGTTTGTTTCATTTTACATACGAGCACAGTGTAGATATTGCCAGAAAAAAATCAATGTTGAAGTGAATTCAAGGTTGCATGACTGTGCTAGAAGTTTCAAAACTCAGTAGTAATTATGCCATTTCTCCCCAGATAAGCAGCCCAACACTTAACTTTCTTTGACAGAGTCCAAATATTAAGATAGAAATCATATAGGTGTGAAACAAGCAATTTCCATCTCATCCTGTAAAAATACTACACATGAGCTGTACAGTTTTGATTAATCACAATACTGTTCATCATTCCAAATCAGACTCAGTGATTTTTATAGACATCTGTTTTCTTTCACATTTACCACATACATGGATGTAGTGTCACTATTACAGAGATTTGACTCATCGAAAAACATCACAAGTCAACCACTAAATCAGTGAGGAATATGCAGCCCATCAGAAGCCATGAATAATATAAGATCCATATGGGCTTGGATAAAATTACCGAATTTGCGAGGCCATCAGGCTTTTTGCACCCTGCCTTGCTGGAGATGAGGTGGTGCTCAGCAAGCAAGCTTTCTGAGAAGCCAGCAGCCACAAAGCTCCTGGAAGCTGGTGGACATAACTATCTTCTACTCAGTCTAAGCGAGGGAGCAAGAAAATACTCCTTTTGTTTAGCAATGAATATAACAATAGAAGCTACAGGCTAAAGCACGAATCAGCATGACAAGGTTGGAGGAGGAACTGGGCAGTGCAGCCTGAGGGATCTCCTCCAGAGTCAAACGCAGAAGCAGGAGCTGGACTTTGCTTGTTATAACTACTTCTTGTCAGAAGAAAGTAACACGCAGGAGGATGAGAAGAAAGTCAGTCCAGGGAGGGGTTTGCAGAGGCTAGTCAGCACGGTTATAGAACCCTCAAAGAAAAGCAGAAAGCTTTTGGGGAAAAGTGATAGCTGCTGGAGGACTGATCATGGCTGGGACCAGGGACAGTACAGCCATTGTGCTGGTCACAACGGGGATGTGCTGTGTTAGAGCCAGCAGTACTACAGCACCACAGTGGAGCTGCTGCTCCTGCCTCCACAGTGCCAAACATTCTTTTCTGCCATGACAGAGGGTCTGGGCTGCAAAAGTGGGACACCAAAGAGCCAGGAAATTCACACCTGGCTGTTCCTGCCACACTTCTTCTCCCATGATACTGCCCTGTACTATACAAGAGGAAGGAGGCAGGCTCAGCTCAGCAATGTCAAGCAATAGGACAAGAGGCAATGAGCAGAAACTGAAGCACAAGGGGTTCCACTCAAACATAAGGCTGAACTTCTTTACTGAGTTGGACAGATTAATCAGAGAGGTTGTGGAGTCTCCTTCTCTCGAGATATTCAAAAGCTGTCTGGACACAAGTCCTGAATTATGTGCAGCAGGCACCCTGCTCAAGTAGGTTGGACTAGATGACCTCCAGTGGTCTTTTCCTACCTTACTGATTCTGTGTGGTACTTCTTTGCCCAAAAATGTTCTTATAGCAGGAGGAGGAGTTGGCACCAAGCATGTGCTTCCATTGGAACTGCTCATCTGGGTTCAAATCTGAATTCAAAGTGGGAATTCCACCCTTGGAGCTCTCTCCTCTCAAGAGAGACAGCATGGTTATTACCAGCTCCAAGGCAACCAGCTGGCACACAGCAGCAGGGATACCTGTGTACATTCTCCTCTGGAGCATCATATTCCTCATGTCCCTCCGTGGATCTAGCTGATATTTTGCAATTTGTGCTTGAAGCAACTGAAAAATTCTGACTGACTTCACTAGGTTTAGATCAGATATTTAATAGAAATTCATGATGGAGAATGGCTGGCTAAATGCTGATTTAGCACGTATTTTTATGAGGGAATGCACAATTTCTACTTGCTGCGTACCAAAATGCATACCTGAGAGGTATAAAAGAAACAAAAAAAAAAACTTCAGGCTCCAAACCCCTATTTTATCTCTGAAATCAGGTATTTTAACCAAAGGGACAGAAAACAAGCTTGAATTTCTTTTCTTTAGCTTTTCCTACTGACTTTTCTTGGAATTTTTCTGCTGTGCATCCCAAGCTGAGGTTCATCTCTCTGCCCCCAGTCAGAGTATAGTGTTGAATGCCTAATTTTAAGTTATTATCTTTGTGATTCTTCACTGCCATAATTTTATTTCCAAATTAGTTATTTTAATGTGCTTATACTAGTACAACAGTATTCCATTTTTACAAGACACCTATTCGATATTTAAGCTGTGTGCAACTCTTGGCAGCCTACTGACATAGCAGAGAGGCCAGGTTTGCAGAAAACTGTCTCCTCCTGCAGACCTTCTAAGAAGTATCTGATATTGAGCATATTAAAAAAAAAATTAACATCTTCTGAAAGCTAAGCAGTTATGAAGGAAAGAAAAAACAGACTGGAGTTACTAAAGAACAGAGAGAAGGCAAGTAATTTGTGCTAAGGCAGTCAGGAAATCACAAGCCTAGAAAGACCATGCAGAAAGAACTGTCAGTGTTTTGCCAGTGCTACTGAACAATACCCTACTGCCTGGCTTTTTAAATAGTTTTTAACATTTAGCCCTTTTTAAATGTGTAATTGTGTTATGGATACTTATTTCCTCAGAACTAAGTATAATTATTCTTCTAAATATTTGGTCCATCTCTATTGTAAACTCTTCTTAAGACAGCTACAAAATATTGCTAATATTTTTGAGTTAATAGTGTATTTAGAAGGTCGTGTCAGGTTATTGCTGGGAGGATTAAAAGATTTTCTTTCCTCCAGAGCCCTTTGTTATAAGAAACCAAGGAAATTTAAAACAGGATTTATTCCTTAGAACCACGACAAACCAACAGAGTACCGTGGCAAGAGCATGAAGTAAGAGCACTGTGGGCCAGGAAATTTACAAAGAGAGCTTTCTTCAAACTCAAAAGTTGAGTTGAAATTTTAAAGCTCTTAATGGTTCTACATTAAGGGCAGCAAAAGACAACTGGTTTCACAGTCATTCCCACTTACAAATTCTCTTTCAAAAGACTCTGGTACAATAACTGGTAAGCTAGTGGCTGTCACTAACACAGGCAGACATTCCTGGCACATATAAGCTTCATTTGGTGCTTGTCAAGCCAAGCCCAGCTGGCTGCTCCCACTGCCACTGGCAGCAAGAAAGGATAGTGATGAGCATCACTTCAGTGGAGAAACAGGAAAGATAGGCAGGAAGGAAGAAAATAAAAAGGAGAACCCAGGAAAGTTTGGTCTCAGATGTCAAAACAAATCCACTGACAGATATAATGGATTTTCCCAACAGATGTTAGTTAGAAACAAACAAGTCTCTCAAGCCTTAGGATCATGCCTGTAGGAAGTTTTAAGTCAGGTCTGCATCTTTATAGGAGTGCTGTCATTATATTAGTCAACTGCTTGGATAGAGTAATGATGATATCAGGGAGAATGGTAGGTCAATTGAAGTGGATGTGCCCTCTGACTTAGTATCAGATTGGAATGCATCAGCCCTATGAAGTGATTGTGGATATCCCAAAACCCATTGCTCAGAAGGAATTTATTTGGAGCATGTCAAAACCCCCAAATCCTACCAAAACCAAGGCATTAGGTATTGTGGTGGCTTCCTCTTAATCTTTTAGAATGATCTCTCAAATAGAGACAGCTTAAACCTTGCTTTCTACATTACCTTACTCTGTTTACATTAGCTTTTACAGTACCTTATTCTGAAAAAAAAATTCTGTGTAGATATTTTTTCTCTCTGTCATTAAAGTCACTTTAGCATGACAGTCACTTCCAATCATTGCATCAAACTGGTTTTTGGAGCAACTGAAAGTAAGAGCATTGGTCACATGCTCATGTTCTACTGGAACTGGGCCTATAAATATTCTGACCATTTCCAAATGAGTGTGTCATGCCATAATGGATATCCTGAAAAAGAACTGATGCAACAGCACCAACAGAAATATTTATATATCGTTTTTAAAGATTTCATCAACAGGTGGCTTTCATCTACTACGCAGTATTCCTAGCTTAGCTACTGCAACACTGTGAACAGATGTTTTTAGGCATCATCAATAGGATTACTCTAGAATTTGCTCATCATAAATCAGCACGCTGCAATGTCCTTTGTGGTGGGCAGTTAATATATCCTGCTTCCATCGGTTCATCTATATGATAGTTCACGGGAGGATGAATGAGCTCACTCCTATTTGAGATGACAGCTTGATGCAGCATTTCAAGGCTTAGCCTAACATGCCCTTACTTGAGGTCAGCCAGCAACCAGTCCCAGAAAACATGTTTGTTAGATGTAACTGAAAACAGTTTAGCACTCGCATTAAAGTAATAATTAAACATGAACAGTGTGCCTTGATGTTGTTTAAATGAATGACACATTCCATGCCCAGAGCAGTTTTCAACCCAGTTTTGTGACAGACAAAACACAATAACTGATCCAAGAAAGAATTAATGAAAAGAGTACCAAGAGGTTAAGCAGCTATCATTCTAACTGAACCATATATTATGGTGTCTCACATATAATGTACCTCAAAAAAGAAGGTGGAGCTCAGTCACATCCAGCATGCCTCCACTAAAACAGCTGGCACAAACAAGCAGATGGGCTTGTTAGCAGCTTCCTCTTGAGAGCTGTTATATAAGCATGGAGACTGTAACAAGAAAAAGAGAAATAAATGGAAAATAACTAGATAAAAATTTCTAGGAAAATATTATTTATATGCATCTACCTTTGTAATGCATTCTAACTTGGACAGAAAAAGGAAACATAAGTTTTTTCCTCAACTGTGTAAACTCTAATTTAAAATAGCTTTTCATAGAGATTTGTTTGCACAATTTGTACCAGCTAGACATTTCCCAGAAACCCAGAGCAATTGATAGTATTGACATCTGTACCTAGAAGTTTCTCTTCTCTCTCTAAACCACAATGCTGAGACCCCTAAGTCAAGTGACTCTAGATACACTGCAAAAATCCACTAAGCAGTAGGTGAGCACTTAGAGAAATTAACTTTTATTTGGGCTGGAGGCAGCTGCAAAAATGGGGCAGGAATGAACAGGTTAGAATGCCTCTATTTGAGTCATTAGAAATGCTCTGTACTGTAAAAGAGTATCCATTTCTCTACTTAGAGTTATGAAAATACTCTAAAAACAGGTCCAGAAGCAGAGACATATTTAAGTAACTGAATCCCAGTCTCTGGTGTGTTCCTTTCCCAGTGACATTCCCAAGGTGCCCCTTTCCAGGTACACTCAAATGGGTTTTCCTCATCTTAACAATGCTCCCCAATTTAGCATCTGCAAATGAGGCTTCTCATTATACATGGAGTTCAGGCACTTTCATTCAGATGAACTATACTAGAATGGGTACCTTCAGCACTGTAACATTTACTTCTTGTGTCTCTAAGCTATATTCAAAGGGGTGCCTAGCCACAGAACTGCTTTCTGCCTGTCTGTGCCATGGGAGGGGACAGTGGCTCACATGAACAAGAAGAGATGGCTCAGCCTCAGGCAGTTGGTGAGGTTACTGTGCCCAAGTGTCCCCCTCACTCTCCCTGAGCTGATATTTGAGCTGTTCACAAACCAGCTGCTGAACCACTGGAGTTATTTAGCTCTTTAAGGGTGGGGTAAACAGCTAGAGGTGATAACCACATTAGCTGTCTCAAGCTGGCAGTAACACATAAGTCAATCAGAGGCCTCTAGGCACATTGAAATGGAATACACAGACACCAGCAAACTAAGCAAGAAGCTGCTTAAACCAGCCCTTAGGAAACACAAAGACAAGTGCAGTATAAGATTGCACACACACTCACACACACATACCACTCACAAATGGCCCAATCTCAGGCTTGGTTTTCTGCTCTTCCTCTGCTGAGAGACTTTTAACCTACATCTCCCAGCAGAAATTCAGTCACCAAAATGCCAGAGCAGGTTCCCACTGTCCTGCCCACCATCTGTACACACACACACACCCTTTAATTTTCTTCCTTTAAAAAAAAAAATACTGTTTCACTTTCTAGATGCCTATTAGTCTCAATAAATACATCTACCTCTCCTTCCTCTGTAGTAAATATTCTAAGAGAGGTTTTGTAGAAATCATTATTTTTCTTATTCCTCCAGAAACTGCATAGGGAAAATTCAGCAGGAACATAAGTAGGAGGGCATCAAGTACAAAAAACCCCAGCCCTGGATAGTGTTACATCATTCTCCTGGTGAAATGTTTTAATTCACCAAAACAGGCAAAAAATCTCAACATCTACTGACTGAAAGGTAAGAACCCTAAAGAATGCTTGATTAAACACCACAAATAGGCCTTTTTCTGATGAAATTATACATATTCTCTACACACTTTTTTTTCTGTAACCACAAGCAAGACAGAAAAGAAAGAGGATGAGAACACATTTCCCTCAGTTTTAAGATGTGGGCTGAACCCCACAGGGATTGATGTGGTCAGGACACAGGCAGGTGGCACAAACTCAGAAACAGACTGATAGGTTCTGTAGGTATTTCACTAGCAGAAACTAGCCCAGAAAGGATTGGCATAGAAAGAGAAAAGGTAGGTGGGAAGGCTGGATAATGCCAGTGACACTAGAGATATCATAAGCACTAAAGAGACATTTAAATATAATTCCTCACATTAATAGATATAACTCCTCACATTAATCTAGCCCATTAGTTTTGGTGATTCAGCTGCCTGCACAAAGAATTGTGCTATTCTGCCAAAAAAAGCTGCATATCTATGGAAACATATGGAGAATTTCAACCATCACCTTATCTGCACTGATCATTTATTTTCTTGAGATAAAAGCAGCAGCTGTAATGGCAAGAAAGTAAAAATATTATGCTTGTTCATAGCTTCTTTTCATACAGTTTAGACAGCACTTCCCCTCTTCTTTATGCTCAGCACTGGCAGATAGTGTGACTTCCCTTCTAGAACCACACACACTGTGTGTACAGTTGTGTCCAACTCTAACCTACAGAACCATTCTAAGGAAAAACACATAAAAGAGAAGTGCACTTAAAATAGAGTCACAACCATGTGCTGTACTCAGCGTGCTTAAACAGGGCACGTAATACAGGTCAGTGTAATAACCACTCACTACTCAGGTTTCTAACATGAAGGAAGATACAGGATGGAACCATAATTCAGCCTGGAACTAATTCTGGAGTACCGCCAGATTCATGCAATCCATAAAAATTCCTGTGTCAAAATGATGTGTCCCATTGTCTTGATGCCTTGATCAAGGTTTCAAAGTTTCTCATTTTTTCTGACATCTCCCACACTAACAAACTTACGGTGAACATATGTTAAACTAACTGCGCCACCACTGAAGCTCTGCTCAAGAATCTACTCCTTTGAAATTTTTTAACCAGCAAATGTAGCAGTGAATGCTGTCCTTCTCTTCCGTACAAATTAAAGAGTGCCTTGAAAAGGTAGTGAAAATGCAAACATTATTGCAAAAATTCCCTTTGCCGGCAACACCTTACATTCTTTACTTATGAGCCACTGATGAACTGACTACATGAAAATAACAGTAACACTTAGGTCTCCTGTAAATAATCCTAAACACAGAGTTCTCGATGATCACAGAGGTCTTCAGAAAATAAATCACCATCCCCTTGTTACATACTTAATACTTCCTCATTTTCACTCAGGTTTCCCATTGGAACAGAAACAAGGAAATCAACTTTATCAAAAGAATTTTTTTTAAGTTTATTTTCCCACCTCTTTCAGTCATTTGCATGGGAGAATCAGAATGGCAATTTACCAGAGAATATGGAATATAGGTAGAATGCACAAGAACTCAGTATGTTCATACAGTCTCTCCTAATCTGCTGAAAAGCCCTTGAAAGAATAAGAAAAACCAATGCATACTGTAACACAGTAGACCTTCTTAAGATTGTTAAGTAATCTTAATCCTTGCCCCAGCCATCTGATGCAGATGCTCCCAAGCGGAGCAGCAGCAGTGCCCCTGACAGGGGAGGAGCCTTGCCGGGAGATGTGTGCAGTGCCACACCTGCCTGCCCCGCTGGTGCACCAGCCGGGGGGGTTGGATTCCACAAGACAGGAATGCGTGGTTAGAGACCTCCAGTTCTCAGAGACTGAATACATATGAGGGCTATGATTTCTAAAGCCAAATTCTTATTAAAAACAATAGAAATTTGGGTGTACAAATCCCTTAGTCTCTGTCCAGCCAAAGCAATTCCTCTCCCCCCAGCCTCTAGCTGCTACCCATTGGTTAGCACTGCTGGTACCATTTTTTAGAAGGATTTGTTGCACAAAGAGAGAGACTTATTAAAAACAGAAAAGAATGTGTTGTGCCTCTGTAGCCAGAATCATAGTTTAAAAATCTGTGTGCCGTATTTTCCTGAATGCTCAAAAGATACAAAAGAGTTATAAAGCCATAGGAACCACCTAAGCTCAAGTATATGGCTGGTTTTCATCTCCAGTGATTCAAAGGAGGTATGTTTACTACTGCACCTGGCACAGCACGCTTCCAGAAGAAACATTTTAAAAAGTCATGTTTTTGTTAGTATTTTTTTTCTTTTTAAACACTCCATTATTTATTGGTTCAAATTGGTTGTGATTTGTTTCAGTATAACAGTATAAAACAAAAATATTTTCATCTTATTTTGTGATTATTCTCTTTTGCTATAAATAACCACTGAGTTATCAGGCTCTTTAGAGTGCTCTTTTGTCTTTCCACCTCACTCTATAGCTGGACTGACTAAAATACAAGAAGGATGGTTACTTTTTTTGAGCTAACAAGGTGTAATTGTTTTCTCTGTTCAAGGTGAAATTCACCCAGGAGAACCAGCAGCTTAGTGCATATTTGTGACCAGACCCTGAACTACTTGTACAATCATTTCTTCTATTACTTTCTATTTAAGTAATGTGAGTTCAGTTAGATATTTGTGATTTTGCCAGGAATGAAGGAGAGGAAATAAAGCAGCCCTTTAAAAACTCTCAAAGCCGCTGGAGGACAAGTCAGCTGATGAGTATGTTTATTGCTCTTAAATAATTTGGGAAGAAAAGAGGAACCATTTCAGTGTTGAGAAACCTGTTAGTGAATAGACCAGACACTAGGTAAATTGCTATGTTTTCTTTTTAATTTTTTTTTCTGCTTTGTAGATGACTATCGCAGCAAGATTATTTTTTTTCTGTTACAATTATTTCTGAGATGAACAGAGACGTCCATTGTCAAAGCAGTGTCCCAGGGTGTCAGCTGCCTGCCTGCCAGAAGCCCAAATCCGTGATATTGCAGACATCCTGCCAAGTTTCAGCCAGGGATCCAGGCATTGCCCAGTGCTGTTCATGAGCACTAATAAAACTGTCAGGTGTGACTCAGACCAGACCAACCAGAAGTGACTACTGGCTCTAGGGAAGGGCTGGGGAAACAGGGACACAGGAAGTATTCTGGACAATCTTCCTAATGGAGATGAAAAATAAATCATCTCAGACCATCCTGTTTTGTTCCATGTTTATGGCCCACAGGTTAAGGGAGAAAAAGAAAATAGGTTCTCAAGTTTAGAAAGATTGTAACACAAGCTGCACAACATGCCCTCAGCAATTTCATCGGGAAACCAGTAGAAGAAACTTCTTCAAAATACATTACCATATGATTCCTGGATGAAAACTACATTATTATCGCTTTGT